TGCTCCGAGCCAGATACGCGCAACGATTCAACGAGATGCGGCCGAAAGAGGAAGAGGAAACTCGAAAGGATCTCGGAAGTCGGTGACCTTGACGGGATTTATGACCGTCCTTTTCGCTATTCGTGAAAGGAAGGTCGGTTCCGCTTGCACGCAAAAATCGTTTCTTTCGCAGCGTGAAGTTGAAATCCTTTCCGAACTTAACACCGTCCTTGATCCCTTGATACGTATATACAATCGTGTTTGAGGAAGCCAGGGGACCATTGTCCCCTGGAATTAGGGTTAGAAGCTCGGTCGGTAATCGCGCGCTCTCCCATTGTGTGCCACCTTGCATTCTCTTTGCACGTACTCCTTTCAGTGGTTCGCCGCGCGAGGAAAAATAGAATCACCTCGGGATCGACACATCTCCTCGAGATGAGATGAATGAAAGAGAGACAGTTTCGAGAAAATTATTCGTAGATCTTTTTGGCGGAACGAAATCGTCGCGAAAGTTCGAACGTATCAAATGTGAAAGGATTTCAGTGGCGAATCACCAACGCAAACGTAACCTAATGTTACGTTGCCGGGATATCACCGATTGCTCGATCGGTAAGATAGTTCGTTCGTTCCGCGCATTCCGAGTGTACAACGCAAACGATAGGCGTGACAAACGAGGTCCGTACGGAAGAACCTTTCAACGAGAATCAACACACACGTATACGCGCGTGTATATACGTGTAGAGTTGGACACGTACGTAAGCCTCCTACGTACTACGCGTGTATATACGGTACTTGAAAGATCAAAGCGCGGCTCGAAAGCGAGGAAACAGACCCCCCTCCCCTCTCCTCATCATGCGATATTACGTTCCACGCGTTGAAATAATAGTTTATCGAACCTTTCACCGGCCAAGTGGAGCGATCGTGCCGCCCGATTAAACTCTCGTCGTTCGAAAAAGCAACCCAATTAATGCTAGCCTCGAGGCTGTTAACTGTATTACACCGTACGTTGTGTACACCGTTGTGCACAAAATATCGAGACACTTAAATACAGCTTCGATCACGGAATAATAGTATTGTATATTTAAGAATTTTTGGATTATTATTACGAATTAGTCGGGATATACAGAGGATATATATATATATCTTAACGGAAATATCGATCGTTTACCTATCCAATCTTCCAATGATTATTCAATTGATTTTTTAGGAATGATGTGCATTTGTATCGTTATCCCCTCCCCCTTTACTTTATTTCTTCTATTTTTCTCCATTCTCTCGATGCATTTCGCAATTCCGCCGGTGAAATTTCCAACGAAATGAGAATGATACTTTGATGAAGGGGTCGCGGCGGTGCAGAGGATGTCAGGTGGCGGCGCGTTGCCGGCTCTAATTAAAAAGCCGTGTTGGCATCACCCAGCGCCCGGGACATAACCTCTTTTTTCCCCTGCTATATTCTCTCTCTCTCTCTCTCTCTCTCTCTCTCTCTCTCTCTCTCTCTCTCTCT